GCAACAGGCCTACCAAGTACCATATATTGAGGATAGGCCTAGGGAAAACACAAGGGGACCCGACAGCAGAGGTGGGGCACAAGGAACTTCAGGTGGCATCTCTAAAGTTACCAATGCCCCAAAAAATATTAAGTATGACGGGAAGGGCAACTGGCAGGCCTTTTTCACAAAATTTGCAAGGTATGCGGAGGTTTGTGAATGGGGTCCACAAGAATGCAAGGACCAACTTTGCTGGTGTCTTGAGGGAAAAGCCAGTGAGTATTATGCCCTCATAACAGAAAGAGACCAGAAGGTCAGTTATAGGGAGCTTGTGGAGAAGCTACACAAGCGTTTTGGTTTCAAGGCGCTCCCCGAGACTGACCGGGTCCAGTTTAACAATGCATGGCAAGTCCCTGAGGAGTCTGTTGAGGACTGGGCTGATCGGGTGTTGTCCTTAGCGACCAGGGCATTTAGAAACCTTCCTGACGATTACATGTACGAGCAAGCCATAACACGGCTGTGCCAGGGTATTGAAAACAAACAGTTGGGGGTTCAAGTCTCTAACCTTCAGCCCCAAAGTATTGAGGAGGCCATAGATAAAATACGGCTATTCCAACATAACACGCAGGCAATATATGGCAAGCCAAATCGGCGTGAGGTTAGGCAGGTAACTGATGGGCAGTATGAAGACCACCCTGAGGCCTTTCATGAGTATCAGGGGCCCCATGAAAGGGCTACCATGGCCCTTGAGAGGGCTCCAGTCAGTACATGGAAAGTGGAGTTAGAAAAGTCTGATAAGAAGTTTGAAAACAAACTTGGTCAAGTCCATGAAAAATTAGACGACATGATGGACCAATTCAAGCAACTCCTCACAAGCCCCATTGCAGGAAGCTGCTCACCTGGCAGACAGACAGGGACAGAAAGTTGCCACCACTGTGGGGAGAGGGGCCATTTCAAAATGGAATGCCCAAACTTTGGAGGTAAGTCCGTCTCAGGGAGTCCCTCCACTGATAGAGGGCCTCTATTGGAGGGAGTGTGCTACCACTGTTTAAAGCCTGGACATGTTAAGAGAGACTGTCTGGATTTACAGGGGAGAGATAAAACTGTTACCTTCATAAATCAGTTAAGCAGAACTGCAACAGGACCATTAAACTTAAACGGGACTACTCAGGAGGCCGGAGTGTGTCCCCGCAAATGAAGTTAGGCCTCTCAGTAGTTGAGTCTTTACCCCAAGGCAGAGTAGCGGAGGTAGCTATAGTGGGCCCAGGGGTAGGTGCCAGGGACAGAGAGGGGAACAGAGAACCCAGTGTGTCGGTGAAGGTTAGAGCAGAGATTGAGTCAGAGCAGTGCTCCAATTCTGATAGGGAGGCAGCTCCTTCAGGCAGATTGGACTGCTACTTATTAAAATGTCTTGCAAACACATGTGCTGCCACAACAGAGACAACTTTCGCAAATGATGAGGAGACCCAAGAAAGTTGGGACTCCACCTCAGATGGTGAGGCAGATACCACTTTGATAGAAAAAGCCAGTGATGAGAAGATAGTCACAGTTTGCCCGCAATACCAGGGTTCGACATGTCCTACTCCTTTAGTTGACGGCGGAATGACTGACAATACTGAAAAAGGTCGCACACCCATCACTTGTGTGGACCCTTCCTCAACTGGAGAAATTGACAGAAAATCTACAGGGTCCTCCACGGGAACAATTAACAAAAAGGCCACAACTGAAAACAACAGTCCAATCAACAAAGGAACAGTCATTAGTATAGAATCTTTATGTGACAAGGATTTATTATCGGCATCCGTTAATCCAGAAAACCCAAGGTTGAGTTTGTGGTCACTTTTTAAAGCAGATAATGTGATCACTAGTTATTTTAATCTGCAGCTGCCACAAGTAGACAGTGGAACACCAGTCTTTTGTATGAGCAATGTCATGGTTAGATCAGGTCCCAACAGAATACAGTGGGACCCTGGAATTCCCTACCTTAACAAAGGTATAAATACAGTGCAAGTGAGGAAAAATGAGATCAAACTCTTCACGATGGAGAATGGATTAGCACAACCTACTGGGTCCAACTTTACAGAGGACATGCAGCCACTAAGTGGCCCGGTCTTAGATTGTATAAAGACAGGGAAGAGGTGGCATACGATCCAGAGAAGAACAATTTACAGTTGTCTGGGTTCCCGATTTGATGGGAACCCATTGTACTAAATTTTAGTGTATCAGTAGACCCATGGATACAAAGGGTCTGGTTGGGGGAGTAGGTTGAATACTTTTTAAAAATTGTTAGGGGGATAGGGTGTATACTGTTTATTATAAATTGATGCATATTTTCTCTAAATTTGGTATGATTTCCGTATTTTGTTAATTTTTGGCGAAATTCACAGGGCCCACCTCAGTAGAGGGGGGCCTTATTAATAAAGCTGGGGGGGAGTGTAGTATTCGTAGGGTTAGTTTTAGGTCATCAGACAGACCATCTAGAGATGTCCGAAGAACTACCCAGAAATCCCTCTCTTCCGGTAATGAATAATGGCTATACAGACGACATATATCACTGAAGAGCAATCCGGCCGTTCCTGACTGCAGGAACGACCATCCAAGGTATCTATTGGTATTTAGATATACTCGGAATCACAACACTTTTATAAATTTTGACTTGGATGGAGAGTTGTCTCATTGGCACTCATACCACATCTTCTCATATCTATGACTTACGAGTATATTTACTCTTAAGATTTTTTGTGAAAAGAGTCGCTGGTATTTTCACCAATAAATCTACCAGGTATAAATCCCGTCTGATCATTATTAATCAAAATTGATAAAAACAGCGACTCTTTTCACAAAAAATCTTAAGTAAATCTTAAGAGTAAAAACTATCGTAACTTTAAGAGTGCTATTACCCACTCTTAAGTATATATTTTAAACTTAAGAGAAATCTTAAGAGAAATCTTAAGAAAATAAAAATGGCTGCCTTAGTTATTTTCAATGTTATAAACAGAAGAGCTTTAAGAAGAGATCGCGTTTTTCGTGACAGGACAGATGACCTTGATTTTTTAAATGATGACCAGTTAATTGCACGGTGTCGTTTCCCCAGGCAGTCTATTTTGGATTTAACAGACACGCCCAGAGATGCCATTGAAAGACCTTCCATCAGATCAAATGCAATCCCTACCCATATTCAAGTAAGTATAACAACACAAATCAAACTTTTTTCTTCCGTCTTGTAGTTGAATGTGCAAATTTGGTGCTCTCTATCACGTCCGCTATGAAGTGAATGGTTGCAAATTATGTTACGCCAATCCCGAACACATACACACAAGCAAGACTCAGTCGAGGTTGTACAGATCTTTTAGAACGTAAAAGATCAATAAACCTTTTTTCCAAAGCCTATAATTTGTCAGTCTGATTATTGTACACACAGTTGCAGAAATGGACACATTTGGGTGAGATATGAAGAGTATTCGGATGAAGAGGGGGTTGTCAGATGACCTGCTTTCGACCTACATTTATTTAATCCATTTCAACTGCACATATGCATATAATGATGCATGTTCGGGTTTCAATAACTAGGACAACAACAGTGCATGCTTATCCGACTTAGAAATGTAGTAGTTGCTTTCAAAGCCGGACATATAATTTATTATTACAAATTTAATTCAATGTAACTGTTTCGGTCATGTTTTAAAAGGTAATAAATTGCTTCTTAAAATTTTGTTTACAATTAAAAGATATGATGAGTTTCATGAAAACACTTGGTATTCTGCATATCTGACATTAATTTCCATATACAAGGGTCGTCCCATGTCCGTGCTTAGGGCCGCAGAATACTTTGTCGAAAATAGGGTCAGTCATTTTGATGACGAGTGAAAATCACAAAAAAAAAAATCGACAACATTAAAAAACATAGAAAACCTATGACCATTAACTAGTAAATCTAGGAATATTGTCATTGAAAATTTAACAAAGCCTCCACTGACTTTAGTTTCTTTTTTTTTCAATAAACATTATTATAGAACGATATATATATACTGTTTCATCATAGGAACTGATTAAAAGAGAGGCGAAAGATACCAAGGGGTCAATTAAGCTCAAAGTTCGAAAACAAAACATTAACACCGTGACGATAATAAAAAAAAAAAACAAGACACACAACACTTCACTTACCACAACATAGAAAACTAAAAAAACTGATCAGAAGCAACCCCCCCACCCCCCCCTAAAAAAAACCGGGGTGATCTCAGGTGCTTGTAATTAAGCAATGATGGCTTTCATTATACTGCATGCATTTCCATATATTCCCTAGTCATGAGATTGTAATGTCGTGGTTCTGTTGGGTAGTTTTCTATCATTTTTTTTAATTATTTTTTTTTATTTCAGTTTTAAATATATGAATCCGTCCCGGTTGGTTTTCTCGTTTAACCAATTAAATGTTTTGTAATGCCAAGATCTTTTAAGCTTCAAATACGATATATTGAATTTTGCGCATTTTTTGAAGTCTGGCCAATGGTTACCTAGCTATAGCTGCTTAAATATTAATTAACTTTATTAGTATGTATAGTTGTTTTATCAACATTCATGCCAAATCAATACAATTTTTTTTCAAAGTATATGGATTCTGTCCAGTGTCCGATCGTGATACATTATTCACAGCGCAGATACATATAAAGATTCATTCGTCTAAATCAATGTTTCCGTTCGCTTTACCTCTCGCAATTTCCAGTAGTGTGTACACTACTTGCAATATCCGGTGCACAAATTGTTAATGACATGCAGTCACAAAGATGTTCAATCCGTCCAAACAAATCAGTTTATCCTCAGTTGACAAAATCTTTATAAAATCTTGCAAGTTGCAGGGCGTAATTTCGGCGACAGTTATATTCCGAATAACACATTTATATTGTTTTCCTATTTACCCACTCATTGTATAATCTCGTACCCCGGAATTTGCCTGTGGTGTACTACATATTGCTGCAGCGTGTAATATATATATTTTTTTTCTTTTTCGTAGGTTATGACAACATTGAGAATATTGGCAAAGGGTGACTATTTGTCAGAAGTTGCAGATTTGCATGGCATTACCATTGCGTCTGCATCTAGAGTAGTTCATTCGGTTTGCGCTTCTATTTGCGACAGGATTCAGAACATCAAGTTCCCAAGAGAAGAAGCCAAACAGAGGAGGGTAAAAGAAATGTTCTACGACATCAGTAGCTTTCCAAATGTGTTGGGTGCCATTGATGGGACGCTGATTCCTACCCAAGGGATGGCAGGGGATGATGAGCCAAATTATGTGTGTAGAAAACAGTACCACGCAATAAATGTGCAGGCCATCTGTGATGCAGAATTGAAGTAAGCTATTTTTATAAGTTCATCATCAGTAATTGAACAAAATTAACAACAACATTGTATAAATTAACTATAAATGGTTTTTATGCTTAAAAAAATCAATATTCGAAAACAAGTATGTGTTTACTTATTTACATGTATATAGAATCTCTTTGACATATTCCCCGTTTCCACTGATTCTTTTTCAATATAAAAAGAAGATGTGGTGTGATTACCAATGAGACAACTCTTCACAAGAGACCAAATGACACAGAAATTAACAACTATAGGTCACCGTTCAACAATGAGCAAAGCCCAAACCGCAGAGTCAGCTATAAAAGGCCCCGAAATGACAAATGTAAAACAATTCAAACGAGAAAACTAACGGCCTAATTAATGTACAAAAAAATGAACAAAAAACAAATATGTAACACAGCAACAAACGACAACCACTGAATTACAGGCTCCTGACTTGGGACAGGCACATACATACATAATGTGGCGGGGTTAAACATGTTAGCGGGATCCCAATCCTCCCCCTAATCTGGGACAGTGGTGTAACAGTACAACATAAGAACGAACTATAAAAATGTGCTCTGCCGAGCGCAGCGGGATACGACCGCAGAGGTCCAATCCTGAACAGTTGGGGCAAAAATGGACACAATATTCAAGCTTGATACAGGTCTGAATTTGGATTTTAATTAAATATTTGACACATTATAGGTTTCTGACACAGAATAAATGTAGTCAAAGAACTTGAAATTGGTTAAATGATTTGAATTGATTTTTCAATTAAAGATTTCTTGCTGTTGTGCAATACTTAGTAAATCTGATTTCAGACTATATACAAAGAATAAGCAAAATCAAAAGAACCCCCCCCCCCCCCCCCCCACCCCCAATACTTGGTAAATATGTTTTCAGACTATATACAAAGAAAAAGCAAAATAAATTGTGAGAAAAACCGAAAATTTGAAAAAAAAATTAAAAAAAATTTGCCCCCCTCCCCAAAACAAATATTGACCCCAAATAAAAATGTGGTACAATTTAAGAGATATCGATACACTATAACACAAGTTATTGTCTGAAAACTAGAAAAATGCTACTTTTTGTGGTATTGAAACTTTTGGTTAAGTTTCATAGAGATCCATACACTTAAACTAAAGTTATTGCCCGGAAACCAATCTGTCTTCGGACGACGACAATAATGTGATAGCAATATACGATGCAAATTTTTTGCGGTCGTATAAAAATCAGGTGAAAAAGGCTTACCTCATCAGATGGATAATACAAATAGAAACACATCTAAAAAAAACTTAAATTAAATGAAAGCAAATCTAGATTAACAATATTACCAATTCTACTGCCTTAGATGTGCATTCACCATATTAGAGTGAATGGTTTCTGCTAGCATAAATAATTAAAAAATAAATAGCCAATAAACATAGTCTGAACAGAAACCAAGGAAAAAATCCAAGTCAGATTTGCATTTAAATGAGTATCTGGGATCATGATTATTTTTTCAGTAATAAAGTGTTTTTTATTTTATTTAAAAGGTTTACACACACAGTTGTTAAGTGGCCAGGAGCCCCTCATGATGCCTTCATTCTGGCCAATTCAAATATACCAACAATAATGGAGGGTCGGAATGGATGGCTTCTTGGGAATTCCGGCTATGGATTGAAGAAATGGCTCATGACTCCCTTAATGAATCCCAATTCACAGAAAGAAATAGGCTACAACAAGTCTCACTGCAAGACGAGGAACACAGTAGAGAGGGCATTTGGTGTGCTTAAAGCTCGCTTCAGGTAATCTTTTAATACTTGATAAAAGCTCTTTTGCTGTTATCTTACTTTCTGTATCATAAATGACTTATTAAATTGAAACAATTTCGTTATGAAGAAAGCAAATATGTATGCTCTGACTCATCATTTACTTAAATCAAAATGTCTTAGTTCCTCAACAATGAGAGGTCACGTATCGATCCATCTCCACTTGACAGGCTTAAGTTATAATCACATTAAAGAATCTCTTAAGCTTAACAAAGTTATTTTTGATTTTTACAACACTATAACAGGGTTGGTGTCTTAGGAGAGAATGGATGTGCCCACCAAACAAGACAACCTGTATTTTTCTATAATCCAATCTCAGTCGAGTCGCTTAATATGATATGTTATCACAAAATAGATTGAAGCAAAATACCAAAAATGATATATTTCATTGATAGAAGGTAGAAATATATTTTAACTAATAAGGAGATGATTCCTGAGTTATGCCAAGAACATTAATGGGCAAAGGTATGTAAACTGTTACCTATAATTGCTTACATCAACAGGAGATGGAATAATCTTTAAAAAAAAACCCTGTAGTAGTTGTAGCTGTGGAATAATAATTCACAATTTAAACTAGTAACCAATTTAAACATGTGAAACTTTTTTTTGACAGATGTCTTCATAAAACCGGTGGATCCCTCCAATTCAACCCTCCTAAGTGTTGCAAGATGATTGGGGCATGTTTCAGACTGCATAACAAGGCTTGTAGTGATGGGCTGCCAGTACCTGAAGATGTGGACATTCAACAGTTAGCGCATCATAACATTATCAATGATGACAAACAAAATAATGAGGCAAACGCTATAAGGAGGAGATTAATCAAGAGATTTTGAGTCAAATTAAATTTGGGAAAACACTGATTATGTAGTGATTAATTTTTCAAAATACCAAAAAAAAACAAAATAACTTTCAGAAAATTTAATAACTGGTGACAAACAATGGAGATCTATTCCAAACTGGTGTTCTGTCCGCTGTGAAGCTCTTATGGCTTCTAGGGCCACAGTAGACCTCCGTTGCATCTCCAGCATCTGCTCCATGATCTTCAACTTTTTGGCTCTGTACATCTCTATTTTTTGGAGCTTACTTTCTTCAAGTAGGAAATACCGCTCTTTGGCCTCAGAGGCAGCATCTTGTTTACTCATGGCAGCTATTAAACAAAAATATATATATTGTTTAAGCATGAATAGTGAAATGAAAGCTACTTAAAAAATCTTTTTTACATTTTATCCATGTTCTGCTTTGTACTAGACAAACTTTAAAAAATAGCATCTCTGCCAACAAGGTTGCATTGATTAACACTACAATTTTCCAATTTTTTTATATGCTTTATTCAAATGCTTTTTTTTTGGGTGCACTGTATGTGATCATATAATTACGAGCAACAGATCAAATTTGAGTTGCATGCTGATAATGTTAAATTTGTTAGAGTTATTGCCCTTGAAATATAAAGATTGCATAAAATATTTATTTTTAACAGCCAGTAGGGGATACTGTATTGCACAAGAAATACTCTCAGAATTATTGATGATTTCATTTATTTTCCTGACAAAAGCACAATATGATTACCCCTTTTCTTCCCCTTTGATGCAGAAGTTGCAGGAGCACTGCTACTACTGGTTTCTGCTTGTGAACAAACATCTGTAAATATAAAAATTTAAGACAAAATTAACAATCATATAAGTATTAGTATTGAATCATTATTTAATATGAAGCAGTTGGCTGATTTCACTCATTTTTTTGTGGAATTTTGTTGTAATTATCTTATAAATGTAATTGCGCTTTTTTATAACTTGGTTCTGGTTGTTGTTGTCTCTTATATATATCAGCTTTGATAATTGAGCAACTAGAAATATGCAATGATTGTATCTTCATTTGTGACATACCATATTTGACTGTATATCACTCTTTACCTTTACTTCTGACACTTTAGAAAATTCCAATTATAGTATAAGAGTTTAAGTCGAATCGGTGATCATGAATTTGACAGCTAGTGCCCCTTTAAGAAATTCTTCTGAAATCATCAAATGCCATGAAAAAACAAAAATTGTGGTGGTTAAATTGTCTTTATATCAAAATGACACAAAACAAGAATACCGTCATTAAAATCATCTGTTGGAGTTCTATCATCTGGCATTTCATCCACCGACTGAATCAAGTTATCCTGTTGAGCTACACTTAGAAAAAAGCAGTCTCTGAATATAAATAAAGAACATGTATTTTAAAAATTTAACTGCAATTTGTATAATAGACTAAAGTTCAAAATGTCTGTACCTGTATTAATCAAATTTTGCAGAATGAATACAATAGTATCATGGACCATTGATGGAATATCTGGAACAGACAGGTGAACTTCTTTAAAAGTGCTAATGTAGTTGGTTAGTTCATCTCTCAATTCCTCTGTAATGCCCTTTGTAAAATCTTTATATTCATTCACCCTAAGAATATTTTCACCAATTTTTGGTAGTGACTTGGAGTTAGATGTATACTGTTCCAGAAATTTCTTAATCTGAAGGTGCATCTCTTTTGCTTGGTCAAGAACCATACAGGTATTAGTCTTATAACCTAAATGAAATAGAAGGGGTTTAACTGTTTAAATTTGTAGAACTATGTCTATTAACAGTTGACAGGATGGAAAATTGAAGCGATTACTACTTCTATATAAAAGTAACCATGATTTGAATAGTGGCTGTCATGGATGGAAGTAATTCTAGTACTTGATCTTTAACTTGTCATGTTATAACTATACAAGAAATATCAAATTAATGTCTTCGACAAGCATGACGAAAAAAAAGATGTGGAAAACTGAAAATTAGTGGAACAAAAGTGTAAAAATATGTGGGTATTTTTTCATGCTTGACATCTGCAAACTTAGGACATAAAACGTTAGTATAATATTAGTCTAATTATCAGTCTTATGCCAATTACATATTCATCTGGTGGGCTATCATTGTGTGAAGTTTCATTTTAATCCATTCACGTGTTAAAAAGAAGTTGCACTTTCAAAACAATGGACAGACAGGGTGATTTATACACTGCATCCTTATACCTATATACCTATAAAGGAACCTCCAAATAAATAACTGTATTCAACATACAAAAATATCTTACCAGGATTGCATGCAGACATAAAGAGTTGTGTTAATGCTGGTTTATCAGTGTTTTCCTATTGCTGATATTCACATTTCACAAATTAACTTACATGTATTAATGATATTTCAAAATGACAATGATTTCATCAGCTAACAGTTATAATTAGAAATAAATGTAGATAGTGTCTACATGTGGACACAGATGATGCCCCCGCTTGCATAGCATATAGTTATAAAGGGACATAACTGAAGAACGGTAAAAGTGACGCTACCCAAATTTGAACTTGATCTGAGTTTTGTGGTAATAAGCATTGTGTGTAAGTCTCATAACATTTGGTTGAGGCTAACTTAAGTAGAGAACAGAAACTTAAAATTCAGCAATTTTTCTATTTGTAAACACGCATAACTCTAGAACGGTTGTGTATTAGTTTTATAACATTTGGTTGAGACAAACTAAAGTTAGAGAACGGAAACGAAAAATTCAGCAATTTTATGTTTATAAAGGGACATATCTCAAGAATGGTAAAAGTGTTCTCACCAAATTTCGTACTTAATCTGTATTATGTATTAATAAGCATTGTGTATAAGTTTCATAACATTTGGTTGAGGCAAACTAAAGTTAGAAAACGGAAACAAAAAATGTGTACTTGATCTTAGTTTTGTGGTAATGAATATTGTGTATAGGTTTCATAATGTTTGGTTGGGGCAAACTTAAGTTACATAATGGAAACTAAAAATTTTGCAATCTTTCGATTTATAAAGGGGCATAACTCAATAATGGTTAAAGTGACACTACCGTTACTGACTACCCAAATTCAACTTGATCTATGTTTTATCAGTGGAAGTCAAAATTAAACATTGCATTGTATAAAGCATTGATTGTAGTTGATTCAACTATAATCATGGACAAAGGAAGATAACTCCAATTTTATAAATTACTTGATATTTAGAAGAAAATACAAATTTTGCAATTTTTCCATTTATAAAGGGGCATAACTCTAGAACAGTTAAAGTGACGCCACCAAAATTCAAACTTAATCTGTGTTTTGTGGTAATAAGCATTGTGTATAAGTTTCGAAACATTTGGTTGAGGCAAACTCAAGTTAGAGAACGGAAACCAATTTTGGGACGTACGTACGTACGTACAGACGGACAAGGGTAAAACTTAATGCCCCCACCGCTACGGCGGGGGCATAAAAAATTGTACATAAATATATATATATATATATATATATATATATATATATATATACTAGAAGAAACCCATGCCAGCGCGGTTTAAAGGATACTTGAAATGTTTATGGTTATATACACAGCACAGCCCTACATCGTTCAGTTTGGTTTGTGTTTCTCAAACTGTTTTTTGTGCACTGATGCATGATTTTTACAACAAAAAAGAATAGTTTGTATGCATGATTTTATCGTTTGTCAGTTTTTCTTCAATAAGGAGTTTGAATGTCCATTTGGTATCTAATGTTTCTGTGTGACACAGGTGCTCCGAAAGCGGAAATCAGAGGAGAAGACAACTAGTTTTTGGTTTATTTAATTAAGCTACTGTAATTAATGCAATTAGTATATGAAGTTATAAAGTATATTACACACATTTTATGCACAAACTATTTTTTATTATATAATACTTCAGACAATCATCAACTCGGAGACAAACCAGCTACAAAATTTCAGTATACAAATTTAATAGTATAGATGTGTGTTACGATTAGCCATAAGCTTCTTTATATTACACAAATCTTCAACATGAAAAGTGATTTATAAGCAAGTAATTACAAACCAATTTCATTTGGTTGTCCTCCAACTGCACAACTACCACAACTAATTCCATCTGATGTGTCTGATGTGTCGAAACCACCCTCAATTCCTTCAACCATTGTTTTAGTGAAGGTTCCAATAATCTAATTCAATAATTAAATTTTATAAGTTATGGGTAGATAATTCTTATACAATTTGCATATAAGGGAATAAGCTCATATGATTGGTCGATAAGGTACAGAAATCACTGTCATGTAACATTCATCATCAAAACATACTAATTAAACAGCTGTGCTTAGAGCGCATGATACGCCTCTATTGGGCAATTAGCTGCGGAACCGTAGCTCTTTATGTCCTTATGTTATTTTTTGACTATTTGCGGACCATAGAGCTACGGATTTTTCCTATTTCAAAACGTTCGGAATTGCGACCCAGGTTCAGGTCGCACTTATTTCCCAAAAAAATATTGTTTATAATACATGCAAAGCTTGTCATTATATATAGTTCGTTTCGTTAGACATTTTTCTAGGATATGACGTACCTATTTATGTTTGAATATTCATTTCCTTAACACTATTATCTAATTATTCCCATTTGTAAACATTCTCCGCCTATTTTGTTCAGCCATATTGAATCTCGTCGTGACGTCACGAAAAACAAGAAAAGATAACTCTAATATCCTCGATCTCCTATGTTGGAGGCGAGGAACGCCTACGAAAAACAAGAAAAGATAACTCTTTTAATAAAACACGTGTTGGTTTGTTTACTTATTTCTAAGCGAGAATCGAGTGTTTTGAAGGCTTTACAATATTAATTCATACGAAATATTTAAATTGCTGGGAAGAATTATTATTTCCGTTAGTATTTAACTTTAATTACACGTTATTTCATTCAAAAAGTCATAAAAATAAAATAAAAGACAACGTAAACAAACCAACACGTGTTTTCATCCAAGAGTTATCTTTTCTTGTTGAATAATTAGATAATAGTGTTAAGGAAATGAATATTCAAACATAAATAGGTACGTCATATCCTAGAAAAATGTCTAACGAAACGAACTATATATATTGGCAAGCTTTGCATGGACGATCACAATAAATTTTTGGGAAATAAGTGCGACCTGAACCTGGGTCGCAATTCCGAACGTTTTGAAATAGGAAAAATCCGTAGCTCTATGGTCCGCAAATAGTCAAAAAATAACATAAGGACCTACGAGCTACGGTTCCGCAGCTATTTGGCAATCATATAGAAATTGTTGCTTATAAATGAAATTGGAAAAGAAGGCATAAAATATTGCTTTAAATTCAAATTGTTAAATTCCTGCAACTCCGAAACAACAAATAAATAAAAAAAAATCAAAAGGGAGCTTCCTAATATCAATCCCACAATAATGTAAAGTTTCAAGGAAATAAATCTATGCATACTAGAGTTAACGTGCAAAATGTGAAAAATTGCCTTAATTCAAATGGTCAAAGTCCCATAACTCTGAAACGACATGACAATTTTTTTTCTAATTCTAAAGGGAGCTTTCTTTTGTCAATCCTAATGTTGTGTTAATATAACATAAGAAAAGGTTAAAAGGAATTTGAGCTATAGCCAGAAAACTGGAAAATCCCTACTTTTTATGAATAAAATCCCATTAATCCCAAACGCAAAATCTTAAATTTATAGAAAAAAAAAGGAGCTAACATCAAAAGATATAAACAATTTACCAAAGTTTTATGGAAATTGGTGAAAGCGTTTTTGAGTTATTGTCCGAAGTGTTGACGACGGACGGACAGACAACGGTATACCATAATATGTCCTGTCTTAGACGGGCGTATAAAAATGGAGTCAAGGGTCCAAGTTTAAGACTGAACTGTGACCTATAATTGCATGTACATGTATTTACTACTTTATGTCTTGGATGGAGAATTGTCCCATTGGCAATTATACTAGATCTGCTTTATATGTTTATATGTGTGTAACTTATTACTTATTATATAACTATAGCTACATGTAACACTGCCGCCTTATTGTCTGGCTTTTTGCAATGGACACAGTGCAGGCGTTGTTGTCTCATCGGCTTTATCTAGGGTTGTAACACAGTACATGATGTACAGTTGCAAGTAGATGGTGTACCTTTCAGATCAGCTATTTTGTATGTCGTAAAGGATGTTAATGTTAATTAAAATGCCGCCACTCCAAATTTTAATTTTATTATACACGTCTAAACATGTGACAACTTTATGACAGACATTCTCTATCGGATAACACGTGGTTATACAGGGCTAACACCGCCTGCATCGTGTCCAACGCCCTAAACCACTCGACCACCTAGGCTACATATAAATATAGCTTTCGGTGGTCGATGTAATGGTCGGTTTTATCGTTGTAACACAGTACATGATGTTGTTGTATATCATATTTGTATTTCGTTCATTTCTTTTTTACATAAATCAGGCCGTTAGTTTTCTCGTTTGAATTGTTTTACATTTGTCATTTCGCGGCCTTTTATAGCTGACTATGCGGTATGGGTTTTTTCTCATTGTTGAAGGCCGTACGGTGACCTATAGGTGTTAACTTATATGTCATTTGGTCTCTGGTGGATTGTTGTCTCATTGACAATTATACCACATCTTCTTATATTTATATTTCCTCCGTTTATTGGACTGAAATACCAAAACAAAAGTTTGTAATGCCCCCTTCACATACATGGTTTTTTCTAATAAGTCCTTACGGATCGCCAACTCGTAGTTAATCCCAAGCATCCGTAAATAACTCGTTGGTATCCGTAAATAACTCGTCACAACTCGCAGACACTCTTACGGATCCGTGAAAAAAATGATGAAAACAACACGGTATAAATTCCATGCGTTCGAAGCGCTTTTCTGGATTTACCTTCATCAGGACCGCTCAAAGCCGAATATTTGAAATCCAAGGATGTATAAGAACCGAAACATTTGAAGAGCTATATGACAAAAAAGAACCTAAAAATAGCAAAATTTATCTAAGGTAAACTTTGCCTGAGGGAGTTGAAACCTTATTTTCTTTCTAATTTCAAAATGTATTAATGGACAATTTTATGAAGGATTGTTATAAATCATGTCAGTACCGAAGAACAGACTGCTGAGCTAATAGATAAAGTGGCAAAAGCTGTAGCAATATGTGCACTGAGTTGATTTATGTGGAAAGTCAAGCGCATATGGGAGTCCAACGTAGTTACTAGTATTTGATACTCTGATCTAATCTTCGCTAAGTAATGGTGCATTCATTTGGGGCTCTCGTAACTTTTCTTGAAAAACAATACTCTTATGAAGCACGCTATCTAGTAAGCGTACAATTCAATATTACAATCTTTAAGTTTTTTCATAACTCTATTTGACCAAGTTTTAGAATTATTTACACCATTTTATGTGACCAAAAAATGATTAAGAGACTTTATACCCAAAAATATTAAATTTAACTGTTAATTTAGAGAAAAAAGAGTATTTTGTTTTTGACAATATGCTTTTATACGTTCAGTATTCATATCATTAATATACATACAATACATATAAAAGAAAATGTGCGCTTAAACGTGATCGAAACAGCGACCTAATGATTCGAAAATCCACAAAGTATTAAGGTTAGTTAAAAACATAAAAATAATTTGTATGTTATAACTAAGAATGATAATTATATTTGTATTTTGATAGTTAAACCTACAAGAATCATGACGTCCGAGACAACATCAATCTTTTTAACTACAAAATTGACAACGCCTTTAGCTTCAACGTCTACAATGACAACTACAAAGAAAACAACGCCTCCAACGTCTACAATGACAACTACAGAGAAAACAACGCCTCCAACGTCTACAATGACAACTACAGAAAAAACAACGCCCCCAACGTCTACAATGACAACTATAGGGCAAACAACGCCTTCAACGTCTACAATGACAACTACAGAGCAGACAATGCCTTCAACGTCTACAATGACAACTACAGAGCAGACAATGCCTTCACTATCTACAAGGACAACTACAGAGAAAACAACGCCTTCAACATCTACAATGACATTTACAGAGAAGACAACGCCTTCAACCTCTACAATGTCAACTACAGAGCAGACAACGCCTTCAACGTCTACAATGACAACTACAGAGCAAACAATGCCTTCAACCTCTACAATGGCAACTACAGAGCAGACAACGCCTGCATCGTCTACAATGACAACTATTGAGCAGACAACGCCTTCAACGTCTACAATGATAACTACAGAGCACACAACGCCTTCAACGTCTACAATGACATTTACAGAGCAGACAATGCCTTCAACCTCTACAATGACATCTACAGAGCAGACAACGCCTTCAACGTCTACGATGACAACTACAGAGCAGACAATGCCTTCAACGTCAAAAATGATAACTACAGGGCGGACAACGCCTTCAACGTCTACAATGACAACTACAGAGCAGACAATGCTTTCAACGTCTACAATGACAACTATAGAGAAAACAGCGCCTACATCGTCTACAATGAAAACTACAGAGCACACAACGCCTTCAACGTCTACAATGACAACTACAGAGCAGACAATGCCTTCAACGTCTACAATGACAACTACAGAGAACACAACGCCTTCGAGGTCTACAATGAAAACTACAGAGCAGACAATGATTTCAACGTCTACAATGACAACTACAGAGCAGACAACGCCTGCATCGTCTACAATGAAAACTACAGAGCAGACAACGCCTGCAACGTCTACAATGACAACTACAGAGCAGACAATGCCTTCAATGTCTACAATGACAACTACAGAGCAGACAACGCCTGCATCGTCTACAATGAAAACTACAGAGCAGACAACGACTGCGATGTCTACAATGACAACTGCAAAGCAGAAAATGCCTTCAACGTCTACAATGACAACTACAGAGCAAAGAACGCCTTCAACGACTACAATGACAACTACACAGCAAACAACGCCTTCAACGTCTACAATGACAACTACAGAGCAAACAACGCCTGCATCGTCTACTATGACAACTATAGAGCCGACGACGCCTTCAACGTCTACAATGACAACTACAGAGCAAACAACGTCTCCAACGTCTACAACAAAAACTACAGAGAAAACAACGCCCCCAACGTCTACAATGACATCTAAAAGACAGACAACGCCTTCAACGTCTACAATGACAACTACAGAGCAAACAACGCCTGCATCGTCTACTATGACAACTATAGAGCCGACGACGCCTTCAACGTCTACAATGACAACTACAGAGCAAACAACGTCTCCAACGTCTACAACAAAAACTACAGAGAAAACAACGCCCCCAACGTCTACAATGACATCTAAAAGACAGACAACGCCTTCAACGTCTACAATGACAACTACAGAGCAAACAACGCCTTTAACGTCAACAATGACAACTACAGAGCAGACAATGCCTTCAACGTCTACAATGAAAACTACAGAGCAGACAATGCCTTCAACCCCTACAATGGCAACTACAGAGCAAACAACGCCTGCATCGTCTACAATGACAACTATAGAGCAGACAACGCCTTCAACGTCTACAATGACAATTACAGAGCAAACAACGCCTCGAACGTCTACAATGACAACTATAGAGAAAACAACGCCTGCATCGTCTACAATGAAAACTACAGAGCACACAGCGCCTTCAACGTCTACAATGTCAACTACAGAGCAGACAATGCCTTCAACGTCTACAATGACAACTACAGAGCACGCAACGCCTTCAACGTCTACAATGACAACTACAGAGCAGACAATGCTTTCAACATCTACAAGGACAACAACAGAGCAGACAATGCTTTCAACGTCTACAATGACAACTACAGAGCAAACAACGCCTTCAACGTCTACAATGACAACTACAGAGCAAACAACGCCTTCAACGTCTACAATGACAACTACAGAGCAGAAAATGCTTTCAACGTCAACAATGACAAGTACAGAGCAGACAATGCTTCCAACGTCAACAATGACAACTACAGAGCAGACAATGCCTTCATCATCTACAATGAAAACTACAGAGCAGACAATGCCTTCAACCCCTACAATGGCAACTACAGGGCAAACAGCGCCTTCATCGTCTACAATGACAACTATAGAGCAGACAACGCCTTCAACATCTACAATGACAATTACAGAGCAAACAACGCCTCGAACGTCTTTAATGACAACTACAGAGCAAACAACGCCTTCAACGTCTACAATGACAACTACAGAGCACATAACGCCTTCAACGTCTACAATGACAACTATAAAGCAGACAACGCCTTCAACGTCAAAAATAACAACTACAATGCAGCTAACGCCTTCAACGTCAAAAATAACAACTACAATGCAGACAACGCCTTCAACGTCAAAAATAACAAGTACAGAGCACACAACGCCTGCTTCGTCTACAATGACAACTACAGAGCAGACAACGACTTCAACGTCAACAATGACAACTACAGAAATGACAATACCTTCAACGTCTACAATGACAACTATAGAGCAGACAATGCCTTCAACGTCAACAATGACAACTATAGAGCAGACAACGCCTTCAACGTCTACAATGACAATTACAGACCAGACAACGCCTTCAACATCAACAATGACAACTATAGAGCTGACAACGCCTCCAACGTCTACAATGACAACTACAGAGCAGACAACGCCTTCAACGTCTACAATGACAACTACAGAGGTGACAATTCCTTCAACGTCTACAATAACAGCTACTGAGCAGACAGCGCCTTCAACATCTTCAATGACAATTACAGAACAAACAACGCTTTCAACGTCTACAATGACAACTACAGAGCAGACAATGCTTTCAACGTCAACAATGACAACTACAGAGCAGACAATGCCTTCAACGTCTACAAGGACAATTACAGAGCAGACAATGCCTTCAACCTCTACAATGGCAACTACAGAGCAAACAACGCCTGTATCGTATACGATGACAACTATAGAGCCGACGACGCCTCGAACGTTTACAATGACAACTACAGAGCAAACAACGTCTACAGCAAAAACTACAGAGAAAACAACGCCCCAAACGTCTACAATGACAGCTAAAAGACAGACAACGCCTTCAACGTCTACAATGACAACTACAGAGCAGACAACGCCTTTAACGTCAACAATGACATCTACAGAGCAGACAATGCTTTCAACGTCAACAATGACAACTACAGAGCAGACAATGCCTTCAACGTCTACAATGAAAATTACAGAGCAAACAACGCCTCGAACGTCTACAATGACAACTTTAGAGAAAACAACGCCTGCATCGTCTACAATGAAAACTACAGAGCACACAACGCCTTCAACGTCTACAATGTCAACTACAGAGCAGACAACGCCTTCAATGTCTACAATGACAACTACAGATCACACAACGCCTTCAACGTCTACAATGACAACTACAGAGCAGACAATGCTTTCAACGTCTACAATGACAACTACAGAGCAGACAACGTCTTCAACGTCTATAATGACAACTACAGAGCAAACAACGCCTTCAACGTCTACAATGACAACTACAGAGCAAACAACGCCTTCAACGCCTACAATGACAACTACAGAGCAGACAATGCTTTCAACGTCAACAATGACATCTACAGAGCAGACAATGCTTCCAACGTCAACAATGACAACTACAGAGAAGACAATGCCTTCAACGTCTACAATGAAAACTACAGAGCAGACAATGCCTTCAACCCTTACAATGGCAACTACAGAGCAAACAACGGCTGCATTGTCTACAATGACAACTATAGAGCAGACAACGCCTTCAACGTCTACAATGACAATTACAGAGCAAACATCGCCTCGAACGTCTACAATAACAACTACAGAGCAGACAATGCTTTCAACGTCTACAATGACATCTACAGAGCAGACAGTGCATTCAACGTCTACAATAACAATTACAAAGCAGACAACGCCTTCGACGTCTACAATGACAAATACAGAGCAGACAATCCCTTTAACGTCTACAATGACAACTACAAAGCAGACAACGCCTTCAACATCTTCAATGACAACTACAGAGCAGACAACGCCTTCAACGTCTACAATGACAACTACAGAGCAGACAACGCCTTCAACGTCTACAATGACAACTACAGAGCAAACAACGCCTTCAACGTCTACAATGACAAATACAGAGCAAACAATGCCTTCAACGTCTGCAACGACAACTACAGAGCAGACAACGCCTCCAACGTCTACAATGACAACTACAAATCTGACAACACCTGCATCATCCACAATGACATCCACAGAGCAGACAACGCATTCAACACCTACAATAACAACTACTGAGCATTCAACGCCTTCAACATATACAATGACAACTACAAAAATAACAATGCTTCCAACATCTACAATGACAAATACAGACATGAAAACGCCTGCAACATCTGCAATGACAACAATTGCATCCGACAGGAGAGTAAATACAATTTCTGAAAAACCCGCGATCGCTTCTGTCTATCCATTCAGGCCTGATGAATGCCTTTGTCCGTGTTCAAAAGTAGGAAAAGGCAAGTGGGATTTCTTACGTGGAATGAATCTTACTCTTGATCAATTAAGAGAAATACTGAAGCCAGAATTAGATCTAATGAAAAAGGAACTAAGTGTCAACAAATCCAATACATCCCTGATGCGTCGTACTAAGATATCAGCTTCAGATGATCGTGTATCGGCAACATCCGTAGGATATGTTGGAGTCGTCTTCATTTGTCTTATTACAGTTATAATTGTTTTCATTGACATTCTCGGCTGCAATGTCGCCAAGTCTAAAAAACGTTCTTGATTACACCTTTACTGAAATGTTTGTGATGGGGTTTTTTTTCGCAAGGGAATTTATGTTATATATTTTGATAAAATTAATGGCAAATGTACATCAGGAACAGATACAACGAGTCTTTTATATAAATAAAGGAAATTTTTTCATACAAAATTATTTTGATTTGAAGGCATAATCATCATCAATTACAGATGATTAACTGATTGATTATTACCTATTTAAAGTCCAGCGGCCAATAATAAATGCATATTCCGGACAAAAAGTATTTACAGCTAGTACAACATATAGGTGGGTACGACAAGTTAGTATGTCAGTGTGTCGGAGGTGACAGATGACTACCACTTGAAAACAATGGTATATTTGATAGAGACAACACAATTATGCTCTTGCAACTTGCCCTCTACGTAATAATAAAATAGTTGTCGCAGGGTTCATAAACGTGCAGAGAACGTAGCCCATTCCCTTTAAGGTGCAACGAATGTAACGTCCTATTCTGACTAGACGTGTCTTTGTTGTTATACATACTCAGGCAAAGGATTTACTGGTGGTTAAAGGAAGATCGATGTGACCATTTTTAATACCCCAGTCACCCTTTGGTTTCTTTGAAATAAAAATAAAGTTTTGATTTATTTGATTTTTTCATGCATTGCGATGTACATGTAAGAAGAAGCATGGCAAATATAACAGGCTTAATCCGTTGGAGGTGTACTGGTTGATTTTTTTAGTGCGGAAGAATGTCATATATCTATCATTTTTATCATCTTTTTGTCGCTGTGAACATCCGTACGTTTTTGATTCATACTTTGTGCCTTTTGTCATGCTTTCAGGTTTGTTTTTTTTTTGTGTTTTTTTTTTTTTATGATTGGTCCGATTAATCAGGACTTTTTTTATCGATCTTTACCCTCCGTGTCCACGCACTAGCACCTACCTTATACGATTCGATAAAAATGTTTAGTCAGCGAATCTCAGTATCAATGTTCATTAACTGATGGACGCCAAACATATAATACAAGCATACGAACTGGGTCACTCTAAAGTATCAAACATTTGCAAAAGGATAAGATTTATACACGAGGGAGACGTTCGTTTAAAACGTGCAATGTTACAGTATACAGAAAAACGAACATAACATTCCAGGTTTATTGCTTTTAATTAATTTTGAAAAAGCATTTGATTCTTGAGACTTTCTGTTATCAATATTACAATTTTTTAATTTTGGTGAATCTATTATTAGCTGGGTTAAAGTATTTTATAATAATATTTCACCCGCTGACATTCAGGGTGGAAATCTTTCAGACTTTTTTCAAATAGGACGTGACTGTAGACAAAGGGACCCCTGATAGCCGTACCTTAATACTTTGTGTAGAAAATATGGCAATCCTGATACGGGGGAATATAAATACTACTGGTATTACTGTACCAAGGATGGAACAATGGTTATCACAGTGTGCAGATGATACTTCACTTGTTTTAGATGTAATTGAACGGTCCTTAAATGAAACTTTAACTGAATAAGACTGGTATGCAAACCTTTCAGGGCTTAATGTTATTTTTTTCAAAAACACAGGAAGTTTTAATTGGGAGTAAAACATAGCGTAGTGATATTCTTTGTCCAAATATAAATTTATCCTAGAGTACAACTTTTAATTTATTGAGTATTAATTTTGATTCAGATATGGTCAAAAATGCTTGGGGATATTACACAATCATCTAGAGGGGATGCTGTTAATTTGATTTATCTCCAAATAAAACAATATGTTTTAACTGAAAATATTTTTTAAAGGCTTTAACATTGCAGACAGTGCAAAATAGAATAAAGTCTCTATACAGCATGGAAAAACTAATTGGTGTTAAAATAAAATAGAAGATATTTTAACAAGAGTTGGAATGTTTTTGCCTTACTTTTCAGTGATTAATCAATTATTTTAGAATGTGTACGTGTACATGATTTAGTGGAAATAAATTTGTCATATGATGTATTGAAATTTTTAATTTTTTTTTTTCTAAATGGCTTCCGATAGTGGTGGAGGTGTAATTACTCAGAGAGACAAAAACAGTGATATAGGTGATCTTAACATGAATTCATTTTCAGTGCTCCAGTATGATCAATGTATTTTTGAGAATGGACCCCTAAATGAGATATTTGGAGAGTATTTGCCCTAAAACTCAGACTTTGTTCGTGTTTTTACCGAAATCAGTACCCCAAGTCAACAAAAAGTAAACAAATCATTGAAGACCCATTGGTGGCCTTCGGCTGTTGTCTGCTCATTGATCGGGTTGTTGTCTCTTTGACATATTCCCCATTTCCCTTCTCAATTTTGATGTCACAAACAATGGCCACGATTATGATGAATTCACATATTCCCAACCCTCGCAAGAGTCAGTTTTTGTTCCCCAACAAGAATTTATTGCAAAACTAGACCATTATATTGCTGATCTACCAAAAGAAATTTATATTTCAAAACCTATTGGAAAGACAAATAACTCAGAAGATTGCCCGACATGGTATCGCAGTATCTAGCTAGTAGAGCAAAATCTATACAGGGGTGTCCCACAGGGAAACTTTTCAACAGAGAGTCTACGATGAAAAGCAGTTCTACTTGTAAATATGCTAGGGATTGCTATATCTTATATATCTAGGGATTGCTATATCTTATATATCTAGGGATTGCTATATCTTATATATCTAGGGATTGCTATATCTTATATATATTCCTGCAGGGTAATAAAACGCAAATCGATGTAGTCTTCAGAAAAGGTGACAGTCAATTAAGTGTTGTTGATTATAACAGCGAAGTAGTTTTTAATGAAATTCTCGAGATGCGCGCAAATATTCATATTCTATTAGAGTGTCAGAACTAGAAAAATCAGGTCAGAAAAATGAAAAAGGTAATGAAAACTTGCAAACTGGAAACAGTAAACTTCGTACGCAATATTTAGATTTAAATGAGCAACTCGTTTCTCATTTAAGGGAATATGAGAGAAAATCAACACAAAACGATGCCAAATTTAAAGTGCTGTCCAAGTCGACAAAAACATTAGATGACTTTGAATAACTTTCAGAAAGATATCAAGACTATGAACAGCGAACTAGATAGACATAACAAATTACAATCTACAATACAAAAAACATTAATTGAGCTATGACTAATTGATACACTTTCTTACTCATCGATAACTTCTCTTGTAAGAGTATCTGGTGAGTTAAATGCAGCATGTCGTTACACTCTGCCGACACGAAAATGTCTCTTGTATCAATGAACATTTAAATGTGCAGACCACCCCAGGAAAAAATAACGGTACGGAAGTAACCTTAAAAGAAAGTGACCATTCATCATCGCCAGGAGACTATTCGACACATTATGTGTCTAATCCTGAATTAGATCAGTTAACGGAAACATCGAAAGAAGGTTAAAAAATATACAAAGACAAATAAGAAGAACACTATAACACATAATTAAGACGATAATCAACGTCAGTACATAAAATCTATTCATCAAGACCATCATGTATTATTTGTGAAGTTGATACAGAATATTTATCAACAAGGTCTTGGTATAGACACTTTTCAATTTGTTTACTTTATTATATAGGTGCTGTCAAATTTATATCAATCCAACATCTCCTTTTGTGATTATATTTGTATATATATTCAACTTATGTTTTAAATGGTATGCTAAATAGATGTAGAGATGTACACTTTAACTGATTATGTTAAAGTGGGAGTCCTATTGTTTGTATGGCAACTCTCTTGGTAACCCAGCTTCATACCACAAAACCGAAGAAAATAGTTGTAGTGATCGCTGTTCAGGGGATACCTCTCAGATGTGTGGTGGAAATTGGAGAAATTCAGTCTATAAATATGAGTAATTGATTTTTTCTGTGTTTCATTTTGTAATAATTTATGTTTCACACCTGTGGTGATTCTATATATAACGGTCTGAGTAATAATTGGTCTTGATAATTGTGAATATATTAATCTTTCACATTCTCATACATAAAGATTAAAAAATTACGTTTAACGACTGTGTATGAGAGAGACGAATGATTACAAGGGGACATTCAAACTCATCAGTCGAAAACAAACTGACAATAACATGGCAAAAAAAAGAAAAACGACGAAAAGACAAAAAACAGTACACAAAACACAACACAACACAGAAAACCAAAGATTGAACAACAAAAACTTAGGGTGATCTCATGTGCTCTGGAAGGGCAAGCAGATCCTGCTCTACATATGGCACCCGAAGTGTTACTCATGTAACTATGTACAAACCAGGTGATAAGTCCAATTCCGTATTCACAGATTAATTTTGGTACTCGCGTAGGGGTAGACAAGAGTCATTTATCCACGCGTAACCTTTTTATGACTCATTTATGGATTTAATCAATAGTAACACAACGAGTGTCATTGGAAGAGTAAAACATACTGGCCTTTCCAGAAATACTTTTGTTTTCCACGGTGTTGGTGGGGTCATTGTTGCTCATTAATTTATCACGTAAGTGTTCCCTATGAAAAGATCTGACTAATAAACCTATCAAAACCATTTAACTATGTAAACAAATCTAACTTAAGCATGTGTTCTGAAATTATTTCAAAAACATACAAGTGGAAAATATCAATTAATATAAAAAAATATTATAATGAAACTAAACTCTGTGAAAAAAATGTGTACTTACAATACATAGTTTTTGAGTAATAAAATTTTAAAATTCTATAACCAATCTGGTAGGTGTCGTCTGCCAGAATGTTGAGAAAATAGGTGAGGTAAGAAATGATTTTACCAAAGATATGTACATCCCATTTCATTTTTTTTTTCTTTTCAAAATTTTAAGATATTCAATTTTCAATCATTTATAACAAAGAAGTTGAAATAATATGCTTTTGTTCTAATACAAAAATAGCATTATTTACCCTGGCCTCCATCCCTGATCTAAAAATGTTGGTGTCTAGGGATTATAGAATAACCTTGGTACTGTATGGTTACAGAATATTTTTGATCGTAGATCGCGGTGAATTTTCGTCTGAAGCTCTTAGGTTAAAAAAATTACCAAAATCATCGTATTTTGTCAAAATCTCCAAAAATCAGCTGACTTTTTAGCCTATGATATACTATTATGAAGATAATTGTTTTTGAAATAGACTCATTTAAGAACCAACATGTGGCCTTTTAATATATTTAATGAAACAGTTAAAAATTCAAGGCAATATTTTGCCAAAAGTGAACCTTGTTAATAACTGATTGTGTCTTTTAGCGTATTGCGACAAATTGACTGAGTATGGATTCGCATAGCATCTTATCCACGTTAATTAAGAGATGATTACCCTGTTGGTGCACTCGGTTGCGCTCCGTTTGAAATTCATGAGATTCTCTCGGGTTTTGTTTTCTTAACTTTTTTGTATTACGGATTTACAAGATTTGAACTTTTTGATAAGAAGATAATCAAATTAAAAGGAATCATCTTTTTGATGTTTTACAAAATGTCCTGAAAAATCCGAATATGGATATAGAATATTGCTACATGTATCATAAAAAAAACACTTACAGAAAAAGTTAAAGAGTTTGGACAACTGTAATATTTGATCCTCATATAGATTTTTCAAAACCAATGGGGACTTTTTCCTCTTTAATATCTAAAGAAAAAGTTGAATACAGTTAAGATATTATTTAGAGTAAGCTTGATTGTCCTGTATTTTTGTAAAGTGTTTTATAATTTATGGAAATGAAACGAATACAGAGTTGTTTAAATATTAAGAAAAATAAAATGTGCAATCATAGTCATAGTCAAAGAAGGGAAAAAAACATATCAAAACGCACAAGACAAACAAGCGGAGCAAACCGGGGTATCTTACATCTAAAGCAATCTGATAGGAAATGCAAGCTCTGAAATATCTGACGAACTGAAAGATATATACTCCATATCAAGGCGCTGCTGGAAAGTTGCTACATAGAAATAAAACGTTCACAATTAGGAAATTGAAATCATATCTTTTGCTGTAAAGTTTGTTCTCAATCGATCCTCATTGTCAATATCTAGATGTAAGGAACATTAATAGTAGCATTTGAATTGCAAAATAAGCCAAATGAAGCTCACTTAACTTTTTTTTAATTTACAATTTCTAATTTTACATAAATTCTGCATTTTTTCCGTACAAAGATTTTGAACAAATTATATATAGCAGGCGGAAATGTTTGCATGTACGGAAAAATATTGGGAGGGGTGTGGCAATTGTTGAATCAGTGGGATTCCTATTCCCTCCCCATTTTGTTTCCAGCAAGAATTTGATGAATACATTGACAATGATATTTCAAGGTCTCACGGTCGTCCAATCCATTTTTTTATACAGCACATACTCGTATCGCTGTATCAAAGCGTCGACCAAAAAAATAATTCCATATCCGTGATAGAGACTTCATACACAAATAAATACAATTTAACAGTTAAAAATACTAAGTAAAGATTAGTATTTTGTTTTTTATAATGTGTTTCATATATTTTCAGGTTTAAACATAAAAATCTTACATCACAAATGTTGCCTACAATTTCATATGAAAAAAAATATCTTCGGTTATAAAAGACATCATATAATAAATTTCAGGTAAAAAGAAAAAAAATAATTAATTGGTTATAATTCAGAACCATTTATACTTTGATAGAAACACCGACATCAAGTACAGAAATTATTACGTCTGTGGTGATATCTATCGTTACAACTGCAGAATTGAAAAACAACCGAAGGTTTAACTGGGGCAAAAACAGAATTGACAAAAGACCATATTTTGTGCTCGACCAGTAAAGTCGAGCACAAATTTTACTCAACTAGACTCGACATTATTTCGACAGTACTTAATTGTACTTAACTGTACTCGACATTGGTCTTGACTTTACTTAATAAGTCTGATTCAGTACTTTATAATCTTGGTGCAGTCTGAAATGGTCTCGATCAAGGCTCGACCAGTCTCGAACTGACTCGACCACTCTCGAATCAGTCTCGACCAGTCTCGACCTGTCTCAACTAGTCTTGACCTTCAAATTTAGTCTTGACTGGTCTGAATCAGCCCATCTAACTAAATTAAATATTGATCTTACAAAATTCCAGGTCATTTGGTAGTTTGGTTCATTGCTGTGAAATTAAAGCATTTAATTAATAGGTAAAAAAAAAGCTAGAATTTTTTAGTTTTGATTAAATTCAGATAGTCATCTTTAATTTTTTTATAACTTTTTCAAATCAACTTGGATTTTCATAAAACTCTACAGCTATCTCAATCATACATTGATCTTTCAGAATGCCAGGTTGTTTGGTAGTTTGATTTATTGCTGTCAAATTCGAGGATTTAATTGATAGGTAAAAAAAGCTAGAATTTTCAGTCGGACTGAATTCAGATAGTCAACTTTAAATTTGTTTATTACTTTTTCAAATTAACTTGGATTTTCATAAAACTATACAGCTATTTCAGTTATATATTGATCTTACTGAATCTCAGGTTGTTATGTAGTTTGGCATATTGCTGTCAAATTTAAGGATTTAATTAATCAAGGTGAAAAAAGCTAGAATTTTCAGTTCGGACTAAATTCAGATGGTCATCTTTAAATTTTTTTATAACTATTTCAAAGCAACTTGGATTTTCATCAAAATCTACACCTATCTCAATCATATATTGATCTAATAGAATGCCAGGTTGTTTGGTACTTATCATATTTGACAGCAATATGCCAAACTACATAACAACCTGGGATTCAGTAAGATCAATATATAACTGAGATAGCTGTATAGTTTTATGAAAATCCAAGTTAATTTGAAAAAGTAATAAACAAATTTAAAGTTGACTATCTGAATTCAGTCGACTGAAAATTCTAGCTTTTTTTAAATATTAATTAAATCCTCAAACTTGACAGCAATAAATCAAACTACCAAACAACCTGGCATTTTGTAAGATCAATGTATAATTGAGATAGCTGTAGAGTTTTATGAAAATCCAAGTTGATTTGAAAAAGTTATAGAAATAATTAAAGATGACTATCTGAATTTAATCAAAACTGAAAATTCTTGCCTTTTTTTACCTATTAATTAAATTCTTTAATTTTATAGCAATGAACCAAACTACCACATAACCTGGAATTTTGTGAGATCAATATTTAATTTAGTTAGATGGGCTGATCAGATCAGTCAAGACTAAATTTGAAGGTCAAGACTAGTCGAGACAGGTCGAGACTGGTCGAGCCTTGTTCGAGACCATTTCAGACTACACCAAGATTATAAAGTACTGAATCAGACTTATTATGTAAAGTCAAGACCAAAGTCGAGTACAGTTAAGTACAGTTAAGTACTGTCGAGATAATGTCGAGTCTAGTCGAGTAAAACCTTTGATAGGCTTTACTGGCCGAGCACAAAATATGTTTTTTTGCAGTTTGTAGTGATTGTTACCAAGTTCAAAAAACGTTTTTAATTTCATCTTTACAAAAATAGTTCCCGATGGTGTTTTTTGTTATATTTCTATCACAAACATATATAATTTAATCAACTGTTATCTTGATTTGTGAAATTTGCGCAAACAGCATACAATGACATACGTATGAACAGGTCTGTAAGAATAAATTTATTCTAGCCATTTGTTAAACAGGGACATATATTTCGTCTACACTGTAGCTTATCACAGTTCGTTTCACGGAAATACAATTTATTAGATTGGTAACCATACCATTGCATGTATACACCAGAAACAGATAAAAATCAATGGAGAATGTGTCCATATGACAATGAATGATGACCTCACTTGCATATAATAAACAATAAAGGTTAGATAAATAATATACAGAGCTCTGCATTTACAATTTTATCACTGTACTTATCACTGCATTTATTAAATATAAGCACTATAGTGATGTTGGGTTTTTTTATCTTCTTCTTGCCCTTGTTTATACTAGTGTTCGGCCTTTGTAAAACACTGAGTTAAGGGTGTACTAATTGGCAATAAGGGATTTCCTTCTTTGTTTGGTTTTTTTTTAATTTTTATTATTTTTATTTTTTATTTATATACATGATATCTCTAGAAAAGGGTTTAAGGAAAAAAATCCTGTAATTTCAGTTAATTTGTTTTGTAGTAAAAAAAGATATTTGTTTTATGTTAATCAAATAAGGAATTTGCTGCATTGAGTTGTTTATGCATGCTAAATAAACATTACGCCGCGTTAACAAAATACCCGTACATGGCAATACTTAACTATATATGTAAATAAACATTACGCCGAACTAACGAAATACCAGTACATGACAATGCTTAACTATCTATGTAAATAAACATTACACCGAGCTAACAAAATACCCGTACATGACAATGCTTAACTATCTATGTAAAAAAACATTACGCCGAGTTAACAAAATACCTGTACATGGCAATACTTAACTATCTATGTAAATAAACATTACACCGAGTTAACAAAATAGCAGTTCATGGCAATGCTTAACTCTCTATGTAAATAAACATTACGTCGAGCTAACAAAATACCAGTTCATGACAATGCTTAACTATCTATGTAAATAAACATTACGCCGAGCTTACAAAATACCTGTACATGGCAATGCTTAACTATCTATGCAAATAAACATTACTCCGAGCTAACAAAATACCAGTAAATGCCAATGCTTAACTATCTATGTAAATAAACATTACGCCGAGCTAACAAAATACCAGTAAATGCCAATGCTTAACTATCTATGTAAATAAACATTACGCCGAGCTAACAAAATACCCGTTCATGGCAATGCTTAACTATCTATGTAAATAAACATTACTCCGCGGTAACAAAATACCCCTACATGGTAAAGCTAAGCTATCTATGTAAATAAACATTTAGCCGAGCTAACAAGATACCAGTACATGGCAATGCTTAACTATCTATGTAAATAAACATTACGCCGAACTAACAAAATACCAGTACATGGCAATGCTTAACTCTATATGTAAATAAACATTACACCGAGCTAACAAAATACCCGTACATGGCAATGCTTAACTATCTAAATAAATAAACATTACGCCAAACTAACAAAATACCAGTACATGGCAATGCTTAACTATATATGTAAATAAACATTACGCCGAGCTAACAAGATACCAGTACATGGCAATGCTTAACTATCTATGTAAATAAACATTACGCCGAGCTAACAAAATACCAGTACATGTCAATGCTTAACTCTATATGTAAATAAACATTACGCCGAGCTAACAAAATACCCGTACATGGCAATGCTTAACTATCTAAATAAATAAACATTACGCCGAGCTAACAAGATACCAGTACATGGCAATGCTTGACTAAATACGTAAATAAACATTACACCGAGCTAACAAGATACCAGTACATGGCTATGCTTAACTATCTATGTAAAAATGTACAATTTTATTTACATGCACCATATATAAAATTTATACCTTGTTTAGAGCGTGCATAACGATGAAATGTTTTCCATTTTTCTAAGACCAAAAATGGTCTTGCCTAAGAAATTCATGAAATAGAAAATCGTACCATGCTACTGGTATCAGAAAAAAAATAGTAACTTTCTACCTTTATAAGACTATTCTGGATTTACCACCATCACGAACGCTCAAATCCGAATATGTTAAAGCAATCTGAGTAGTAAGTAACAAGTTTACTTAAACAGATGACCATAATGCTTGAATGTTTTCGTTTAGAATGCAAACCTATGTGTATGACTTAAATGCAATAACTTGAGACCTTGGCATTGTAAACAATGAACAACCTAGAGAGTTGTTAAGTAAAGGTCCGAAATATCAAATTCCTCAACCCATCAATTTGAGAAGAATTACAGGTTACTGATGGGTGAAGTTGAGGACTTTCCAGAAAATGAATAAAGTGCGAGCATATTCATTCGTGTACTCAACGTATACGATTTACAAAGAAGCCAGAGGTTGTTTTCCGTTATGAACTATCTGTGTAACAGATGACCCTGGATATGTTCGATTGTGACATCATTGAATGAGACCCATCACCGGATGTGTACTTCAATAAGCAATACGACGGGTGCCATATCTGGAGCAGGACTATCTTACCCTTCCGGAGTACCTGAGATCCTCCCTCCTTGGTTCTTGTAGATGTCGTGTTTCTCGATCTTTAGTTTTCTTGTAGTGTTTTGTGGATTTGTTCGTCTTTTCGTTGATTGACATGGCATTGTAAGTTTTTTTCGACTTATGTTTTGCAAATGCCTTATACTCGCTTCGTAACAAATATGTTGTTATTCAAGCATAAAAAGTCCCAAACAAAATTGTTTACTATGCAAAAGCCATTACCAGTCAGGGGCTTTACTTAAACAAGTAGCTTTCAAAATTACCTATACAAGTTCTGTTTGAAAACGAGGCTATTTAAAAGATTACTTATATAAGTAAATTTTGTAAATATTATTTTTTTAGGTGTCCATTCATGCAGATTTGACTAGCTTTAACAAATTTCCACTGACATCTGGTTATTTTTACCATGAAATTTTA